AAGATGAGACCAATCCGTATCCGCAGATTGCGAAGCTCCAAAACCTTTTGATCTAAAAGAGCCACCGAGGGAAGCAGGAGGAGGTATGGATACTCCCAATCTCTTACCAGCCCAAGGATCATCACGAGCAGCTAATGGAGAAGCACAACGGGCTGCAACATCAGGATTTGCCTGAAGCTGAATAAGTTCATCAACTTTCTTCTCGAGACTGGAGAGGCGTGCAGCATCAGAGGTCCTCAAAGCTTTAAGTCCATCAATTTCTTCTTGCAGAGCTGCAGAGTTACCAGCGACCCGGTCGATCTCGGTCGTGATGTGGGTTTGCAGTTGAAGTTGTAATTGATGAACCCAAGCAGGAGCATCAGGAGCAACAGCGAGATCGAGGGAGGGTGATTTGAATGGAATGACCTGCCCCTTTTCAACGCCCGAGCTCTCCCGAACCCTTTTTCTCTCTTTGTGATCCTCCTCCATATCAGAATCAGAAACACGAGTCATATCAGCCATGGCCCCACGCACTTTAATCACCTTTATCCGAGATCCTGAGCCAAAATCTTGAGCCGTAGCCATAATCTAAGACCACAAACACAACCAAAACCCAGGCGTTGCCCATCCAGCATCTCTTGCAAGCTATTACGTGTAGCGACGCCAGCACTCCCAAGTATGTAAGCGCGACCTCGATGTTGTAGCATAGTGACCCACACACACACACACTACAGTAATAAGCTACAGGAATCTCCAGAGCCGCGGAAAACAAGCATTTACAGTGGCCGAGCTGTGGAGCAGCCGCCGTGGGAAATGTCCCGGAGAGGCCCGTTTGCGATGTTCCTTCTGGGTTTGCCCAAACCATGTGGAACCACTACAACTGCTTTGGTAGTCGAGAACCTTACATGTGCACATTCAAGTTGACATGGCTGCACCCTCGGAGCACAAACTGGCGAATTCGCTTCGGCCGATGATCACAACTACATTTAGTTGATACAACAGCTTCGCCAGAAAGACTGAACTCTCCACATCTGACTTCAGGATTCAGGATTTGCCGCAAACGGTCAAAAGGTGCGCCGTGAGGGCTTTCACGGGGTCCTGTTTCGGTGTGTGACGAGCTTCGATTGCTTCGGACAGCATCAAAGTCGGGATTATGTGGTCCTGGCACATGTCACGTCTGCGAGGATATGCTACTGGCGCGAACACCTATCACATGCCCACAATCCCTGTAAGAGTGGAGTCCCCGCCCATGGCCCAGGATACGATCCCGATAGCTGACAGGTCGTTTTGCTCGTGCCGCTCTTCCATACAAGAAGATGCTTCGTTAGAGGACTCAAACTCCATATCGGTTCGAGGTTCTGCCTAGCTACCGCACATGGCAGATCTCGATTGACGCGACATCCTGCCGAATCCTGGCACCTCCTCCGTGCAGCGAGGTTCCGAGTCCATTCCCTGCTAAATACTTGGCTCGGGCACTGGCAAAGTGTTGTGCGTAGAGCTGATCCCACCTCAGATGAGCGGAGTGGCACCGACAGAGACAGATCCTAGGATCTGAAGACCCACTTCTCACTGTATGCATGTTGCCGCATCTTGTCTACTACTCTAGTACTGGATATATACTAGCGAGCGTTTCCGTTTCGACTTGAGATCCGAGCTGTTGCCGCTGTGCTCTGGCTGCCTCTTCTGCGGCCTGCATCTGCCGCAAGGCATCCTGCGCGCCGAAGATCTTGGACAGCAGATTACCCTCGATCCGAGTTTGAGGTGCATTAGAGACATGTCGTCAATGTACGAGCCCGATGCCCCATCCGGTCAGCTCAGCACCGGCCGCTGGAAGGTGGCATTGAAAGGAGAAGGGATTGCTGTGGCTACCCAAACAACCCGTGCGAGGATTCCTGAGGTCCGTAGGTTCATCTACGTAAGAGCTTCGCGGAGGACAGGTTAGAACCGAGCAGGATTTGGGAATATCAAGCACGGATGTGGAAAGTCGCAACCTTCAAAAGAAAACAACTAACTAAGGCGAGCAGAAATAGTCACAGTCGTTATGTTGTCTTGTTGCTGCGCGGAGCGCTTCGCCTAAGGTGTTGGAAAGTGGTGCCGGCGAATCGCGAAAGCCGCCGAGGCCACAAGCCTCAGGCGTCTGGTTAGACTCAATACCCCTCCCCCCGCTCAAAGTGCAGTGACAGGTCCAATTTCGAGACTCAGTCCTTGAGCTGATGACTCAGAGACTCATGCTGCCGCCACAGTCAGGCCAATGCCGGCGGCGTAGCGTTAGAACTAAGATGTTGGGTTCGAGTGGCTCTACGCAAAGAAATGAAGTACTAGTGCATGGGCCATGGTTCGCTGCGGGCGGGTTTAGCTAGGGGTATCTTGTGTTTCAGTTCTGGCAAGGTCGCGAAGGATGAGTTGAAACGTCGGATTGGGAAAGAATGGGATGTGGAGTTCGGAAGCTGAGGAAGAACACCAACAGGGAGATACAGCGAACATGTCATTAGCATACAATCGGCACAGTGCAGATGCGTTACAAGCACAAGACCAAGCAATTGCGCAACGAGCCGACCAAAATCGGCATATCTCGGCCTTAGTAATAACAGATTTGGGCACATAATCGACTCATGGTAGTCGGACTGGAACCGGCGTACGATCGGCATACGTATGTGGGTTCCGTGCCGCGCTTCTTCTCTGCTAGTTCGTTGATGAACGGCGAGCATGAGCATCGTATCGCTTCCCGCATTAAATCGATTGAATCGAAAGACAGTCCAGCCCACCCTCTTCCTCCATCGCTAAACATGCTTGTCCGTTGAGCATCGTTTCCAACATGAATTCAACTGATCCGGCGCCGGTTCGACGTCGGTGCAGAATCTAGCGCAGAACTGCTCTTTTCCGTTGGTCGTCATCGTTCAACGGCGTGGCTTGGTGTCGAGGTTCGGCGCTGCTTCGACGCCCCCGTTGTGTTGCCACTTGAGCTCACAGTCGAACCATCCGTCAGTGGCCGCAGCCCGTCTCAAAGGGTTTTTGTCTGGACATCTCCAGGCCGGCATCTGACAATCCAAACCGACATAGAAGCGGCACAGATCAAGACACCATCGGCATAGGTTTTTAGATGGCTTTCCAAAGGACCAGCCCGAACATCCACAAATCCTGCCAGAAACTTTGCCAAAACGGTAGGTTAGAATTAGCAGTGATTTTGCCAGCGGGCTTGCTTACGAGCCCAAAGTTGAAGCTGATGGGTTGATGCTCTCTAACAGCGGAACTCCGAGTAGCTGCAGGAATAAACGGCACGAAAGAGTAGGTAAAAACCTCGGTGCAAGGTGCAATCTTTGACAGGGTTCCACTGACTGTGACATTAAAGGGAGGGAGAAGAAACAACAGCGTTGCCTGATTTCTCAAAACCTACTAAGAGGCCGAGGAATGAGAGAAGCATCTTCTTCCGGATTCTGATGACGAGCTTGGATCGGAATTTGGCAAAGAGGTTCAGGGTGTGAGAAATCCAACGGGTCCAAGTTTGCTTGCAACATGCACAATGGAAGGCGACATGTGGGGCCTGGACATAGACCAGCACTACATCAGACTCTCGGTCTGTACACTAGGTGCAGCAACGTGCGACTCAGCTGAGCGAATGCTGCAATGCGGAAGGTTTCACAGAACGCAGCACAGAACTTTGAACTTCCAACTTCCAGGTACCCTTCAATCAAAAGGCCTAGCATGAAAGAACGTGGCAGGTGCGATTGCTGACAAAATCGGAAATAGGTCTCTCAGTCTCTTTTTCCTTGATGGAACCCAGCTTGTTCGTACAATGTGTTCTTCGATCCAGGCTTGGCAGACAGCAAAAATGCATTCGCGACACAGGTCTCCGGATGCGACAGTCGCGAAAAGGGCGCACATGTCGCTGTAGGGTGTCGGTCCTCGTACTGCTGCCGCTGTACACGTGCTGCCTCCTGCCACGAAGCAGCCATCAATCACGCGGCCGTCACTAAAGCAGTTATGTGATCCTGGCATGGGGCCCACGAGTAGCAGACCCCTCTGAGTCTTATCGCTCTTGTCGACACACTGTGTGCATGCTGGCAGTTTGAGGTGCCCAACCCCACCTCTGCAGCATGTGCAGCATAAAGACCTTAGGGCTCGGGCAGAGGAACTAAAGTCCGACACGGGTTGCATTTGTCTTGGGCTTCAGCTTCCGGGACCCTGATGCTACGAAGCGGTTCAATACATGCTCCACTTTATCGCAAACTCCACTGTACCAGTTGACTACCCGGTTCCCCGAAAAGTCGCCACTGCTATCTTTTCCACAATGGTATTTTCCATGCAGATGGATGAGAGGCCAATGGCTGGCCAGAGAGGCAATTCGAGCGAGCGGAGTGTTCAAGCGACTGCGTGTAGCCGAAGTCAGGCTCGACCATACCACCGGCTGACCGACTCATCAACCGTCGATCGGGTTTCGGCTCCAATTGCAGTCGGAACTGTAGGTTAGCCGACCATGTTGCCACGGGCCCGGCCCTGCCAAGAAGGTGCCAAGATCATTCTGCTCGGTCACAGAATCGGTTTTTTCCAGTGGTGAGCGCGACAATGTGTGCAAGCTTCATTTCTCGCCGTGATCTCCGCGGTCGCGACCGTCGGTGTTAAGGCTCTGGCCCTAAACCTGCAGCAAGACTTTTAATCGGCTCGGGTAGCCCGTGACACCCTGACACCCTGCGACCAAGTGTTGTCCCACCCGCTTCGCTGACCAAGTTGGCTCCGGGGCTCCCGGACATGGAACAGAGCACGATACGAGTAGCATCAATACAACTGCATTCGCAACCTGTATGTGGGTTTCGCCTTGAGTTTGCTATTCGACCCGGAGCTTGAAAGAATTGAAACTCTGGGCGCCTCCATGTTTCGTGAATGACATCATCTGTACATACCGGCAGCCTGTGTAGCCTCGTAGAACTTCATCCAGTGCTCGAGACTCTAAAACTCTGACTGCTGACGTCACTGTCCCGTAATCCCCATGCCACTTATTATCTTGTGGCATACAAGCTCGCCCCTGCAACTCACAAACGCCACGGGACCGTCCCAGGCACCACCGCCCTGAACCGACGCCTGCCGGGACGCAAGAGCAACTGCTACCTCCTGTGCGATGTGACCGCAAGCAGTAAGCAGGCACAGCCTGAGCCGTCATCTCGGGTGGAGGCTCCCAGGAAGACTCACCGGTGGTCTGGTTGTAGTAGTAGATATGCCCTGACGAGCGGCAAGCTTTCTGCTTGACAGTGTTCAACATACTTGCCCGCAGCACTCGCACACGGCCGATGCGTCTGTGCACTTTGCAGCTTGACGCTTTCAAGAGGATCGAGCCTTCTGCAGTCTGGCAAGCCATCCATGCTCCACCTGCTTGGCCTGCCTCCAAACAACGACAAAGGCGAACCTTTCTTCAACTCGAGATTCGAACTCGCGGGGCCTGTGGGATCTGCTGCTGCGTTTGCTGCTGCGGCTCGTGCAGCCTGTGCTGTCAGGAACGGATCTTGTCGGATGCCAGGTCTACCAGCATTGACAATAATTCTGCCGAAAAATCAGCACATGGCAACCAGGCCACACACAACATACAGACTTGTTTCATCAGCAAAAAGCAGTCGCGCATGTGCGTGTGCTAATCCTGACGAGACATGCTGAGACCCCTGCTGCTGCATTTCAGCTTCCGATGCAACTACCTGGCGTCGGGAGCTAACATGTCCAGGCCGCCGTCATGCGAAGCTGCACGGCTCGACCGACTCGACACACTTCAAGCGTTGTGATTTCCGAAGTCGGCAGCGAAACTCTAACCACGATGGTCACGGGAGCTCGCACATAACGCTTTTCCTGCGCTTCTGCAAAGGCAAGGCTGTCAGCAAGCTCAAGCTCCGCGAAGACAGAAGATAGTCATGGTGCGCCGGCTGAATCGCAGCATGGCATTTTCACATACTCCCACGCACCAGTCGAGCTCCAGCTGCGCTGTTAGCAGCTGTCAAGCGAGATCCATCGGTGATGCAAAAGCAAGACACTGTGTAACTCGACGCGGATGCCGCATGGCTGTTGCCAATGCATTTCGACATGTGTGGCCACTACAGCCATGCACCCTCAAACTGAGAGACGAGCACTGGCTTCGATTTGCTCCCTTTCAGGAGCACGGTGACGGAGTGCGTTGAGGAGCGCATGTTGCGCTTTCCAGGACGATGGTTGCCTACGGCTGGCATGTCAATTGACATAGTACACAGAAGCCCCGACGTGCCCCGACGTGTATGTGGCCACCAGGATCTGACAGCCATGGAGTGGACTGACTTGCCACTCAAATTCCGTCAGCGCTCGACTTGCAGTTACCGGCTTCTTCTCGTGGACACCATAAAGTGAGGTTATCGCGTAGCCTCGGACCAGACTCATCCAGCCAGACTACGAGTAACTAATCGAGTGACAGCAACTGGCAGTCTGAATCCATGCGACAAAAGGGAGAACTGCCAACGCGGACAGCCTCGTTTGAAGCCCTGTCCCCTCTTAGCTCCCATCCAGCTTCATTCCTGCCTTCAGAGCAGCCAGACTAACGAAACCATCGAGTCATTCTGTGGGATTGAGGGCATCTGTGTGGAGTTCTACACGTAACGTACGGCCTATGGAACCATTAATATAAGTTCCGAACACTCGGCTCCGTCGAGCAACATCTGAAGGGCCAAGGTGATGTCCCCTCGATTCATGCCCTCAGTCTCCCAATCCTCCACATGGCTTGAACGCAGAATGCCGCCCAGATTGCAACTGCAAAGCTGACATTGTTACTTCATAGTGGCAGTGAATTCGGGGCAGTGAAAACTTGAGCTCACATCTTCTCGAAAGCCTCCTGAAACTTGATGAAACCCTGATGCACAAGCTTTCACGAGCAGTCCTCGCCGCGACCCATGTTGAAACCTATAGCATCCTTGGCTGTGCAGGGTTTCCTGGATGCGGTATGGTCAAGGCAATGACCGCTATCGTTACAGGATCAAAGCCGGTCACAAGCAGTCTGCATTAGAGAGTGTTTCCACTTGATCTCCAACTAAGAGTTGCGACTAACTTCGGTGTTGGCTTCTTGACAGATTCTTAGACTCGGTGTGCTCGAGCATAAAGCCTAGAAGATGCAAGTAGTTGATTTTGCGTTGTGCTACAACAAAGCAAGTGCTTGTTGCTGTTTTTGCAAGACCAGAACTACCAACTGGTGGAATCACAGTTTGATTGGGTTGCCGTCGAAGACTTGTGATGTTCTAGTTCTGAAGCAGCACGTACACATGTGACTCACGGGCCGGGCAGGAAGTCTTGCTATTCTTCTTGAGACGGACGAGGAGGAGTTTTTCTTGGGACGGACGAGGAGGATGCACTACATACTTACACTCCCTGCTGGATCTCCCGGTTCCGACTGTCTGCAAAGGAATCTTACTTGCTGGTTGACTGTTGCCTGAAGTGATTGCAGCCGTAGCGGAAGAATGATTAACGTCTGCCCGAAGCGAATTGAAGCCGTAGCAAGCGTTTGCCTGAAGTGATTGAAGCACTCAGCAAGTGTTTGTCTGAAGTGGGTGAAGCCGTAGCGGAAGAACGATCAACGTCCGCCTGCAGTGATTGAAGCTGTAGCATGTGACACGCAGCCATACGAGTGACTTGTGATGAGCGAACGACTTCGTGAGCCAAGCTGGAGTCTTGTCTTAACCTGTATCAAGTACCCATGACGGTTCAACTGAACTACCCCTTCTTTCGAAGGGGTGTGTGTGTGTGTAACTCCTGTTTACAAAGGATTGCGATGTGTTTATGTAGTCGTGAACTGTACCTTCTTCGGGATCTTCTGAACACAAGCAGATATGCCTGTACCAAGCAAATTCTTCACGTTGGACTCTCTTAGGGCTCGGAACCGGCATGTGGTGTGACATAATCTTCGGGGAAACGGTTTCATCAGGCCAGCAATGGCGCACGTGCAATCGAGGGGCTTCGAAAGCCGTCCTTGCAACAGAAATCGCACGATCTTCATCTCCCAAGCCATGCAGGAACACGGAATAGTTCCTTGTTGCTAGCTTGTGCGACATTGGCTGGGCGGGGACAGTGTGCATCTACATCCCCACTGCAGGTTTCCACCAGGTCAGGCAGCAAGGCAAGAAAAAGACGTGACGGATGTGTCGGATAGACAAGGTCCTGAGGCAGTTCCACAAGGTGCTGCGCTTGCGGGCTGTTCGAGAAGGCTATAGTTCATAAAGTTCTCTGTGTGATTCAGGGGTAGCTCCCGAAGCTCAGCCAACTCGAATGAACATCGGAATCGGCATGGGGATCCCATCTCGAAGCCACATCTTTCCCTCTCCACACCCTCCAGCTCATACTGTCCTCTTGCACAGCTGTGGCGGCTTCGTAAGCTTGGTGACCACGCCGCTTTCTCTCCTCACCGGTACCACATGGCAAATTCTGCACATTCAACGTGTATCTCGACAGATCTCGACAGCTGCTTCAAAGAACATTCCGTACCATGCTTCTTTGAAGTAGCTATTTCTTGGAAACTTCCTCGAGTCAAGTCACCCCTCTCAACCTTCACGACGAAAGAAACAGCCGCCTCCGCTTCGTCACCCCCAAGCTCCATCAAGTAGCGATAATAGTCGCCTGTGAAATACAACATGCAGAAGTGAGGTCCAGCGTCAGCCGATGTCGTCGTAGCGAAAACCGGCCAATGCAAGAGGATCCCTGGCCTGCAAGACGGCCATACACAAGGCGCTCGTGACCGCGCGAATGCGGCAGGAGCCTCTCCTGCGCTCGTGCACGAGGCAGCAAGAAAACGAAATCTGCGACGCACCAACCAAGGCTCCTCCAGCATCCGAAGTGCCTGTTTCAGGGCTGGGCTTCATGGCTCGGGTCGCGACTTGGCTGTCCCGCCTCGAGGAAGAAGGCCTCCGCCTCGACCGCCTCCGTCGTAGCACTGCCTTCCTCCCGAGCCTGCGGAGTCTGAGAGGGCTGGTTGAAAAGGACGGTTGCATGTGACGGCATCCAGCCGCGCATCGAGGCTGCAGCTCGACCACATCAGCGGAATAGCCGGGACTGAACTGCATGTCTCCGGAAGACAAAACCACGATGGCATCATGAGAACTTCTTCAAACCTCTGGTTCTCAACTAGCCCGGAGCCTGGCGCCAGGCTGCTCGTAGGACCCCCGATCGGGCCTTGAAGGCAGAGCCTTGCAGCTGGTTTCTGCGCTCGTAGGCCATGAGAGCTGAGCCTACCGCCGCATCACCTGGCTCTCGTTCCAAAGTGCCGAAACTGAAATGAAACCGCAGTAGCTCCAAAGACCTCTTCCAAGACCGGCGTCGCTTGTGGAAGCGAGAGGCTTAGTAGCTGCAACTCGTCGGCAGTGAGATCTGAATGCTGCTGCACCAGGTCATGCAAGTGGCTGGTAGCCTCCTTCATAACCCTTGGATCTCAACCAGGGAGTGCAAGGGCTCTAGTCCCGCGAAGGAGAGCAGGCTCCTTGTACTCCTCGGACTCCATAGCTGCCTTCGCAGCTTCAAGCCTTGCGTCGCGTCAACAGAGCAACTTCACTGTCGGCTTCAGTGTGTACGAACTGAATCCCACGCCTTCGGACCGAGCCTTAACAATCCGACTGCAGAGTACAGCCCTCGACCCCATTGCAAAACGTATACTCGCAGCCCCTGTAGTCGTTTCATCGAGGCTCTTCATGAATTTCTTCATTGGCAACATCGAACCCGCCTTGCGATTTTCGGACGATGCCTTGTAAACAACAAGTCTGCGCACTGCGCAGTCAAGGAAACCTGCCCTATTCACTGACCAGGCCAGCCCAGGCAAAAGAAGCATCACCGCACAAACCGACCTTTCATGCAACCCCTCAGACTCACCCCCGAGGTCTGACTGTTGGGGTGTACGGACAAACTACATGTGCTTCGTGCATCCTGGAAGCAATTTGGAGCGGCAGCTGGTGAAAACAATGCACCATGGGTCGGTCGCAAAATCCGCCACCAGATCTGTGTCTTTCAAGTCTTGCCCGCCGACTGTCACCTGCGAAACTCTCGACATGTAGTCGAAAGACCAAAACTTCAATCTTGAAGCCTTGCGTCACTGCCCAGACATTTCCAGCTCAAGCACCAAACAGACACACACGCACACAATGGCCATTGAGCGAATGGCCTGGCCGGAACGTGCACGATATCCCAGAGAAGGTATAGCTGCTTTGCGAACATCAGCGACTTTGGCGGACTGCGGTATCTCGATCAAGCATGTTTCGCCGGACAGTGTGACCAAAGATAAAGCCACTAATGGTTCCATGTTGAGCCAATGCTGCGGCTTCGCACCACTGTGAACAATTCGCGTAGTTCGGTGCCTCATGTCAACTGTGAGCAAAACCGACTCTTACAAGCCGAAGCCATCATAGGTGCCTTGCCACCAGAAGGCACGTCCCAAGCTGTTTCGCCTGCAAGGGCACAAGCCGCAACTGCAGCGTGACTAAGCCAACAGTACGTACAGGCAAAACCTTTCTGCAAATATACATGGGAGGCGGCCGGCCTGTCTCCCAGTTGCAGTAGTAACTTTGACCGTCCTCGGTCGTGACTGGGTACCAGTAGGTGACCGGGAAGGCCTGCGCCTGCGTCACGCGGCGCACAAAGCTCGAAGCTGGGGTTGCCTCTGCCGAACATCCGTCGGATGCCTGGTCGGCATGCTTCCGCACATCATCAGCGAGAAGGGGCCCGGTCTGTTGCACCTCTTCGGATCTTAAATCAGCTTCTTCCCTTGCGAGCTCTACAATTGCAAAGCCTCGCTGATAAAATACAGCACGGTCCCACATGCTCAATGTCTCCAACACATTAAGATAACTAGTTCAGCGCTCCCAATTCCAACAAGCCAGGTGAGGGAAACGCCGGTCTTGTTCAGCTACATCCCGAAAGTCTGCCTAATATGCATTTACGCACACATAGATACATATGTATGTGTGTATATTATATATACATATATATCTACATATTCTACGCACGCACAACTGCACAAGCACACGTGTTTTCCTGTCTTCTTCGATGGTGTCTCCCCAGAGGCATCGTAGTCCAAAGGTTGTTGGGCAAGTCCGGCCACAGAATCTGGGGCTGATGACACTGAACTTCCCATTGGGTTCTTTTCTCGTGTTAGAACCCTTACCGGCTCAATTGCCATAATGCCGAATAGCAAACTCTGGACAACAGGCAGCTGGGGAGAAGATGGCAGTTTTGCCACTGTGAACTGTGAAACTCTTAGACAGGACGCCATCGGGGGGCCACAATGAGGTTTAGCATCCTCCTGTCCTGGATACTTCGACAGTTGATGCACAAGCCAACAGTAAAGAGCCTGGGCAGCTTGTACAAGCCCATAAAGCAGGGTTGCAACTTGGAAGTGAAGCAGACGCCATGATTTCCATGCGAATGGCAAGTATTAGTTGAAATTTTAAAAGGACAGCCGAGCCGGGACGGGTCGAGAAAGCTGCAGTGTGGGACTGTGGGAATACAAGCTCAGCGCACTGCTTCCGCACTGCTGCCCCCTCAAGCGGCATCAAGCAAGGGCTGCCGTGGAGTTGCGACTGAGAGTTCGAAGGGTCCTATAGGGCACTTTCGGTCGCTCCGGAATGCGCAAGTCTCACGGCTTCAGGCTTTGCCTTGCCACTTGCTTCGAACTGAAGGCTGCCGCGAGACGTCGAGCAAGTGCACCAGGAAAACAACGCACCCAAAACTGACCGGAGAACCAAGATGCCGGCAACAGTTGCTCGAGACTGCAAAGTTACCCCATCTGCCTTAGCCTTGCCACTTAAAGGTCTGCACGTCGTGTGGGCGGTGAAGGATTGACACCGTGGCCACCAGTGTCCCCGTCTTCTTTCCTGGTCGCACTTGCCTTCTGGGAGTGTCTTGGGAGCCGCAAGCGTCTTTCGCACGCCGGCTGGCGGAACTGCACAGGACGCACAGCGTTCGAGCAAGGTAAAGAAATCGCGGCAATGCCCAGGAGTTTTGCGGTGACTCGGCTAACTGAAATGAAGATGTCGAAACCTTCCGCACCATAGTGGCCTTATTTCTTGCCTTTGCTTGGAACTGTACAGTACTTGTGGTTTTGGTCATAATATATCATAACCGAGCCTTTGTGTTGATTGGGATTGTGGCAAGCATCTCAACATTCGCCGCATCGAAACTTCCCTCCGAGGCATCTCACACGACATGATTTGTGCCTGCACCATCCTCCATGCTGTATCTCAGCGCTGTCCTGGGTGGACATGCGAGGTGCGACAAGCAAATCCTTCTAGCCAATTGTAATTAGCCTGATCGACACGGGTTCACCTACGCTTCGGGTTGCGAACCACTGCGGGGGTTTCCGACGCCAACGAGGCTTTCCAAAGCTGAAGATGCTGAAGTTCACGCTGCAATGAATCCCAAACGATGCAGCCCAAGCACAGCTCTTTGTGTATGGAAGCGGCCGACTTGGTGAGACTTCGGATTACCTGCCTGGTCACCTTGTTCTCGTGGCCTCGGTGAATCCAGAACTTCAATTTACAATTTGCTGTTGGCCGCCAAATCATCAGTGAAGCCGCTGAATCGATTATTTTCGGTAGAGACTTCTAAATCTGCTTCACAACGTTTTTCAATTCCTCTGTGCGCCCATCGGTGCAACCCCTTCTGGCAGCAGGTGAAGGCAACTACTTATTGCAGGCTTCTGCAGTCGCAAACCAAGCGACACTCCGTAAGCCCGGGGCTCATTTGTGCAAGCTGAAGACTCTTGGCCGGGCCATGCAGCTGCATACAACCGGACACGAACTCCTGAGCGATTGGACTGAGCTGACTAGCGACACCTTTGACGAGCTGTGCATGGTATAGGCAAGTATGGTTCAATAGACATGACGTGCGGTAACAGGTTCATTTCCAAGCCAAGCAACATCCAAATCGATCCATCCACTACGGTCGGTGTCGATGATCATGAACAGCCTTGGTCCACAAGCGTGGGCAAGTTGGCTTGGAATGCTCGAGTCGGAAGCGGGCCATTCTCGTTCTCTCTGCCTCTCTCTCTCTCTCTGTCTTTCTTTCGCCAAGGCTATGGTGCAGAGGGAACCCCCCTACACTCGCTCTCCCTCTCTCTTCTTCTCCGCGTGAGGGACTGTTTGGGTCCCAGGCCGCCACGGTTGGCCTACTTTCTGGACGCTTGAAGGGACGTGAGAACTCTTCCTGTGCTACGGCAACAGCCCTGTCCACAGGGCCTTGTGCAACCTGTATACTCGGCCCCTACAGCGTTCCCAATAAAGTCAACTCAACGATCTCACTTCGAAGAGCGAAGCTGTTGGCAGCTTCACAACCCTTTTGCACCAGACCCTGGGGCCAAAGAGTTGAAGTCCACCATCGAGGACTGCATCCAAGCGACGTTGACACATCCTTCAGGGCCGCATGGCGAGAAGAATCCGACTCACAAGTCACTGGCAAGGGTATAGCAACAAACAAAGTAGCGATTGCGCTTAGCTAGTTTACATCTTCACCATCCAGCCGCAATGCCCGGGCACATGCCTCCACCGTGGGGGCCTTCCTTACATTCAACCGCGTACATGCCCTAGCCACAAGATGCGAACGAAGCTGACTCAACACCTCCCATGGCACGCGGCAAGTGGAACAATGCAGACAGCTGGGGATAGTACTTTCTGGCACCTTGATGTGTAATTCGCCCCCGCCGAAAGTCTTCAGCAAGATGGTACCAGCCCAAAATCGTCGCTGGCTTTTCCGGTCTAAAGCCCATGCTGACGCAGAGCATGACAGTATCCTTACCAGTGTGTGGAAGCCTGAATCTGAATTGACCAAGTTACACTGAAAATCACATTCACAAGCTGGCACAGAAGCCTTGCTTAGGTGCAACCCCTCCTCTAACCCCCTCAGTTTGAAGCGCCTGGGTGGAAATGCCCATGGATTCCAGAAAGCTCGAAAGCTTCTTGGCACTGAGTGCCTCTTGTAGCTCCGCCAATGTCACCAGGTTTGACCTTGATTAGAGGGATTCGTAGAAGTCCAGAAGTTGTTCTGTTCCGAACCCGAACAAGCGTGCGTGTCTCCCACAGGTGCTCACTTTGTCGAACATTTGCTATGCGTGAAGGGCAACCACTTGAAAGTCAAGGATGACAGTTTAGTTGGGGACACGTGTTGAAAACGGGTGGCGGGTAAGTCAGAAACAGCCGGGGCCGTGTGGGGAGTAAGCCGAGGCTGCATGGAAAAACACCGACCCAACCTACACCCTAAAGGCCTAAAAGCCCTGAAGCCCTAAAGGCCCTAAGCCCGAACCCAACATTCCTGACTCGACCGCTTCCGACACACCCCACTTACAACCCAATTCGAACAACATGCTCAGAACAAGCGGACAAGTGGGTCAGGTATTTATTTCATGACCGACCGATATCTATAATCTATAGCAATTCGTCCAAAACAAGTCCGATACTGCTGCAATACAAGTTGCTTGTCGTGATCGATCTCCTTGAAAATGTGCCGTAGAGCCTGCACCTGAAGGTCATGCTTGCCTCAGCTTGCAACGGATGACTCCGGGATGATGCTGCAGATCGTTTGTGTTGCTATGCTTCCTGTGGAATCAAAGTGCAAGAACATCCCGGCGAATTATGAAATGTCAGGCCGGCTTGCGTGCTGAGACTGCTTCGTCGTTGGTGGTGGTCACTGCCTACTGGCATACGTACTGGCATGGTTTTACTTGGTCTTCTTCAGTATGCCGTGCAGTTAAATTGCGGACAGGGCTCGCATCTGCTTCATGATCGCAATGTCTTTGTCACTCTGCGCCGACTCAATAGCCGTGTTGCAGAAAACGCCAGTTACGACCTCCGCAATCATCTTTTAGAAACGCCGGACACATACTCAAAGAAGTACAAGTACGACCTCCGCAAACTAACTAACTAACTTTGCTCTGGTGCCGGCAGCCCCCAAATGGACAGGACACCACTGTGAGCCCCTCATATCAAAAGGAGGGGCAACCATATGACATGAGAGCAGAAGTGCAGCCAACAGCACGAAGCTAGTGGCAACACTCGACAACTCATGTGCACAAGCATCCCAAAAAAACAACCGAGCGAGAGACAACCAACAAAGGCTCCAGACACGAAAGAGCCTGGGTGGACTTCCGCAAAAAAAATTGTAACTAAGTAACTAACTAACTTTACTACGGTGCCGGCAGGCCCCAAATGGGCAGGAAACGTCATCGACCCTCGTTTCAAAAGGAGGGGCAACAATCCGACATGAGTGCAGAAGCGAGGTCGTAAGCTGACTAACTAATTAACTGGTTCACTAACTAACTAACTAACTAACTAACTAACTAACTAAGTTCTGGTGCCGGCAGCCCCCAAATGGACAGGACACCTGATGAACCCTCGTTTCAAAAGCAGGGGCAATGATCTGACATGAGTGCAGAAGCGCTGCCTAACGCACGAAGCTTGAGGCGACACTTGACTACTCATGTGCACGACCAACGAGGAAAACTACACAGCCAACGGGCAAGCAACAAAGGCCACACACACACACACATCTGGCACGGAGGAGCCAGGGTGGGCGAGAAAGAAGCGTTATAAAGCGACCATGCAACAACCAAGCCAAAGGGAACCAACAAAGGCCTCTACTCACACACACACACACACATGGCACGGAGGAGCTAGGGTGGGCGAGAAAGACGCGTTATAAAGCGACCACGCAACAACCAAGCCAAGGGAACGGCCTCTACTCACAC